TAAACAAAGCTGCGTTTCAATACGTGCTAGAGCAAATCCGCCCGAAACTAAAACGCAACACGCGAAAGTCTGCCATTACGCCAACAATAAAACTGGCAACTGCTTTGCGGTTTTTTGCGCAAGGGTCATATCAGCTTAGCGTTGGAAATGACTTTAATTTGTCGTTGGCCCAACCCACGGTAAGCAAAATTTTATCCGAGGTGTTAGACGCGATGGAAAGTACAATCTGCCAAAACTGGGTTAAGTTCCAAATGTCGGAAGATGAGGCGATGGAGTGCAAGCGAAGTTTTTTTGAACGAACTGGTTTTCCTGGAATCATTGGCTGTGTAGACGGGACGCATATTAAAATAATTGGTCCTTGCAAAAGCTCTCAACATTTGTATTACAACAGAAAAGGTTTCTTTAGCGTAAATGCAATGATTGTAAATACTTGAATGAATGTAATTTATGGAAGTGATTACTAACTATTTATTCTTTTTTGTATTAGATCTGTGATCATAAAATGCGTATCAGATACGTAGACGCCAGACATCCAGGCTCTGGACACGATTCCTTAATTTGGAATACCAGGCCAACCTAATATTCACGCACGCCGGCAGTTTACTGTCAAAAATTTCTCATGCATATACATCTTGTATGGGACCAACCGAAATTGACCGGCGTGCGTAAAAAGCTAACTCAAATTCCAAGATTTGTGTTGCGTGACATTTCGATTTGACGTCTGTGCTCTATGACATTTTGGCGCGACAATGAATTAAAATTTTGGAAAAAATGCAGAATAGCTTCGATTCTCAAATTAAAAAACACATATGGGGATCGATAGAGATCATTGAAGTGAGTATAACGGTATATTTATTTTCTTGCGGAAATAACGACTTCATTAGTTATTAGGACTCAAAGTTCAAATTAAACAATTTTTTAAATCCAAATTTTTTGAAAACGAATGCATGGATTTTAAAAATTCTCGTTTGATAGGAAATTTGATTCCCTTTAATTTGATATAAATATAATCCTCCCTAAGTAGAATTTTCCTTTCTGTGTTGCCGCAGAAGGGAAGCGGAATTCCTTTCTGCGTACATTAATTAGATTTTTGTGAAAACTAAACAAGGCATATATAAAGTATGTATATCAAATTAAAGGGAACTAAATTTGCTATCGATTGAGGCCAAAACTTTTAAGATCCATATATTACTTTTTAAGAATTTTTTATTTAAAAAATAGTTTAATTTGAACTTTGACCCTTAATAACTTTTGTAGTTTTTGTTTCCGCAAGAAAAGATATATACCGTTATACTCACCTCAATGTTCTCTATCGATCCCCGTACGTATCGAAGCTATTCTGCATTTATGCTCAAATTTTGCTCAACTTCTGAAATTGGACAGAAATGCATCTCTGAAAAATCACGCACGCAATTTTATTTCGGTTACTCAAATGTGAAGAACTTGCGTGCGTGCGTAGAAAAATTCACGCCGGTAATATTAGGTTGGCCTGTAAGAAGGTTTTTACAAGAAAAATATGAAGCTGGTGAACGTAATTCGTGGGTCTTGGTATGAAATTACAAATAATATTGAAATGAGTTTTACATACAAGTTTTTAGGCGATGGTGGTTACCTATTAGAACCATTTCTAATGACACCTTATAGATCATCGCCTGAACACAGTGCGGAAAGCCGCTACAATTCCGTTCATTCCAAAGTAAGAAATATTGTTGAGCGGGTGATTGGAGTGCTCAAATCGCGATTTCGATGCCTCCTTGGAGCGCGTGAGTTACACTATGATCCCCAAAAAATTACTAAAATCGTAAACGCTTGTGCTGCTCTTCACAATATTTGTCTTCACTTCAATACATNTCCTGAAGATGATCTACAAACGCCTTTCGAAGAAGCAAAAAATTCTGCCATTATTAATGAAAATGAGGCAGGCGGTAGCTCAGAGGCTTCCAGAATAAGAGATGTGATTAAAAACAATTTGTCTTTATAAGTTTTATTTTCAATTCATGCTATACATACATACTTAAAGTAAAAAAAGAAAAAACACTTCATAAAAAATAAATAAAAATTCAAATGAAATAAATTACATATTTGAACTTAATTGTTTCTCCAATAACTCCAACTTTTTTCTTTTTACTGCAGCATCCAGCTCCAAAAGCTCTGCTTCTTTACGTGCCTTCCTTGTGTAAATTTTTAGGCGTTCTCCTTCTATCTCATTCCTTTTTCTTTGGTATCTGGAAATATCTTTCATGTATCCCTTAATGGACTGTAAATGGTCGCACTGCACTTCCTGTATTTCGGTCTGCTTCCTCAACAGCTCTATTCTTTCTTTTTCTGAGGGTTTGTGCTTCTTGAAGATCGCACTCTTGTTGAAACTGTGGGTGTTTCATCTTCCACATAGTCTTCGACCACATGTTCTTCAGCGTTTTCTATATTTGCCTGTATTTTTTCATCAAGGTCCAGCAACGCATCAATTTCGGTATCTTCAACAAAACCCAACTCACTCCCTTTTGGATTTATTTGCTGCTCAAACTGCAACAAATTTGCAACCGCTTCTTCCAGTGGTGACAGTTGAATTTGTCTATTGGCTCCTCCTCCTGTTGCTCTCGCTTCGGTTTTGTTTTTGACAAGTTTTTTCTTAACCTTGAATTTCAAGTCCTCCCATACCTTTAGTATAATTGTATAATCGTTAGTTTTAAGTAATATTTACTGCTAACATAATTTTACTTACTTAGCGCCAACCGTCTCCATCACGAACTGGAGGTCCAAAAGGATTTACTTTTTCCGCAACCACGTTCCAAAAACTATCGAAGTTTAGAGGTTTTATGCCCTTCCTAAAACTATTGGCGTATGCGGGATTCTTTTCCATTTCGGAAACTAAAACCTCAAATTGCTGCACGGTAGTAATTTTCATTTTAACTTTATTAAAATCGCAATCCTTTCGCTTTCGTTCTAAAAAATGCGGACGACAGTTGACGAATGTTTGTATGGCGTTCCTATCTTCGTTTCAAAATGGAGAATACCGATATATTTCCGATAAACTTCGATAACGCCAACGGTGATGCCAACTTGTCGTTTTTATTTCGTTTTAAAACGACAACGCCAACGGGAATAGGGGCGAATTAAAAATTGCTACCCTGGTAACCCAAAAAGAAAACATCTTGTTACTTTTTTCGTTTACAACTGGTTCGAAACTATAGAAAATGGGGTGCAAAGCGAACTAGATCCCATGTGTTGAATTTAGGACTGGTTCTGAACTATAGAAAAGGTAATGCAGCGGGGGACAATTTCCAATTCCTATGACATCGCTGTGTTAAATTCGCCAGTCGTTGGCATGCAAAAGAGATTTATCATGAACTAGTAGTGGTTCTAAATGTAGTAGAAGCGCACCAGTTTAAAACTAGAGATTTTCCCCACAGGGATGCACAGCAGAGGTGCACTCAGTCGACGTCGCGGGCAAACTGCGAGCACGCGAGCGTGCTAGGCGAGGTGATGTGAGCTGTACGGAGATGGCAACGTATACATTTTAACCACTACATACTTATTTTCAAGTAAAAATGCGTTTATGTATGTGTACTTTTGCGACAACTGAGCCAGTGTGGCATCNTGTGAGCTGTACGGAGATGGCAACGTATACATTTTAACCACTACATACTTATTTTCAAGTAAAAATGCGTTTATGTATGTGTACTTTTGCGACAACT